AACTTGGAAAAAACTTATCCTTTTCTTTACAAACGAAACTTGTTTACAAATCACATATAAACGCTGTACAATTATGTCTCTAATAACCTAAATTGATGTAAACATGATGGATAGCATTCAGAGAAGTTCAAAAATTCTTATGTCATATGTGTTGGTTGGAGAGTCTTTTATATTTTATTTAGCTTAATCGAGTAAATCATTTGCGGACAATTATTGTACAACGGTAAGTGAAAATAATTCAATCTCAAGTGCTAACGTGTTCTAGTTGTTATAGCAAAAACCTTAGATTTGATTAAAATCTGACATAATTGCTATCAGCAAATAAGACAATATCTGATCTTGCGCGTTTATAATTTTATCTTACGGATTAAGCGAATTGCATTCAAACAGTACAAAATCTCCAATCCCAATGAGCTTTTGAGGTTTTCAATCTGATGCCACGACTAGTTATATTTTGGTAATCAACGGAACTAGTTTCCAAATATTTGACACTGTTTCAAAATAAACTTTAATAGAATAAAATCACGAGGACATACAACAACAGAGAGAATGTGCTGGTAAGATGTTTTTTCTTGTTTGTCTTTTTTAAGCTCATAACTAATATCACAATAGCCTTCTAATCAATTCTCACTTTTTGGGTGGACGTGATAGTTTAGATCATAGAGACTTTTTATTAATGGTTTTTACAATAAAGTTTTCACTATGCGAGTGGATCGGGATGATGTCTAACCAAAGCTGATAACATACAAAGAAATAGTGTACATTCATGGCGTTATGGTAATGCTATTCGTTACCTTCCTATTTGTATCATATAGATCTTATACACAGACCAAGGAAAATTAACACAAATATATGTTTATTTATGAATTAAAAATAATAATAAAGAAGAAAAAAAACAACAACTCATTGAGCTAAGAATAGATAGAGACAAAGTAAAGAACAATTACTCACCACTCAAAAGCTTGATAGCCTGTTTCATGCAAAAAGGGCCATTTGATTGGTGATATAAATGATCGAGCATCTTCCACACTGAAAATATACAGCAAAACATTTACCGATATGTAGCACGCAACACAAAATAACAACACAAAACATAAAGCCAGAACTAAAGTTACACACAAGGCGTGCGGATCAATTTCAGGCCCGAAAGTTAGACCCTGAGCGGCAAATCTCGATCTTCTGAATTCGATTCTACTTAGTACTTCAAAAGAAACAAAAGTTATATGTTTAAGAAACAACTTTTAATCTCACTTACCTTAATCCATCTCTAAACAAACAAAAAGGAATTACAATCATGCATTCGCAGACAGAACAAGCAATATAAAAAATCATTCGTTTGGAGTAGCTGAAGCAAATGACACAGACTACCAATTATGCGAGTGAATCTCCGTTCCTATTCAAGTGTGGATCATACATACGTCTAAAATGTGTAAATCAAAACGCCTAGCGAAAAGAATTTATGATGATAACGTAGACAAAGTTAAATCTATTTACATTTGTAGTACATGGACGTTAATGAGATACCATTCAAAGCTATATCGTTCTAATTTAATACTCTATTCTTAAAACATTAACATTGCTTATATGCGGTAATAATTAACAGCAGCAGAACAAACATTTATATAAGTTATAAGACATCTTATTTTGGCATCATCTTCATATCTATTTTGAGTGAAACATAATTAGAGCGTAAAGTATTACTAGATATTTTCTATCAATATTCTCTGGTAGCTATTCTTTCCTTTTAAACTTGATAATATAAACAATATAGTCAAAGCAGGTATATCATATTTTCCCCCTTTTATTAAATTCTATAGGTTATATAAAGATAATAAACTATAGGCCTATATTATGACTTTATTAAAAATATTGTATAATATTATTTTCCTGCCATCATTTATCTACAAATCAGGTCATACCAGCTTTTGAAGAACTGAATGTTTTAAAAAAGAATATTTCCATTGACGAAAACCAATATGGTAAAATAGCTTTACGTTCAAATATTAAGCTGCGAAATATATGCAAATATTCTATGCACTTCAGCGTACCAAACTAGATCTTTCTATGTCATTATAAGGACTAATGTCATATACCTAAATTCAGAATTCATTTATTTTGTATCACAAAGCCTAGATAATATGATACGAATGAAAGCTTTGACATCAACTAGCAATGTTCAATGCTCATATTCAATTGCAGATATTTTAACCGATTCCATATACCCTTATTTTGATTGATAAACGAGATAGTAAACTGTTGGTTCCAAACCTTGAAGTTCACTAGTGCAATTCTGCACATCTCTAAGAGCCAATATATCTGAAAAAATAAAGATGCAACGTTTACATTCTTTTGATTGCTATAAGCAATAAATATAAATTTTATTACATTCACTCTCAAGACTTTAAATTATACAACTCGATCTTTGAGACCCAGAGAGCAAATAAAACCTATAAATATCCTTCGCGATTTCCTTAGGAGCCATTGTTTTGATTCAGAAGGAATATGCGTGATGCCAGTGATGTTATTACAGATGATTGCACGCATGCTCATTGATGGAGATTTTTATTGCACTGATTTTAATAGGTGTGTATAATTTGTGCCACGTTTCAACTTTGAAACAATAAGTTAGTGGCAGATGAGACAAAGATTGCAGAATGGAAATACATAAATGTTTACAATTCAAATAGTGAGAATTCGCTCACAATGAATTTAACTGGTCGAATTGTACAGAAAGAGACAACCAACGATTTAACTATCGAGGTAAATCATCCCAAACAAACTTGTAGCATTTATGCAAAGGACAAATACAAGAGGCGTGCTTGTCCGACAACTAAAGGTAAACATGGACACTTGATGGGGATGGGGATTAGGAGAAATCCAAAGACGCCCATTTTATTCCCCAATCCATTCTTCAAAATAGAGAAACCTAATAAATATTCATATAACCAAGACAAACACAGTTTCCAGCAAGATCACAGACATACACAATGTGAGCTGTTAAGTATTTTGTTTTCTTTAATGTAATGTCTGCTTCAATTTTCATCTTTTAAAGGTAGAAAAAGCCGGCAGAATGATTAACTTCCATGGATGTGCTTTGTAGACACGTTTTAATTTCCCGACGGTGGCACATTTCTGTGCATCTCAGAATCCAGATAACACGAGAGAAGTAAGTTCTTTAGCAAGTGTCAAATATCTGGCGATTATTTTAGGATTGTTCTTGCATAGCATTGTGAGCCATTTCAAGTACAGTTTTTACCTATTTTGAACTGAGTATTTGAAAACTATTCCTAGATATTGCTGTGATAATGTTTATATCGCTTTAAGTATATTGTTTATCAAAATATTTATACGAGATGTCCAGATCATTGCTATACTGATATAGATATACTATTGCTTGTACATTGAGTTTGATTGCATTTGAACCAGTTTTAACCGTGTGGCATAGTTTGAGACTGTTCTTGTTCAATGGTGCCAGATGGTTAAAAGAGTACAGTAAAAGTAAATGTTCTCCTGGTACAAACGTGCTGACTGTTGTCCTTTGTATTTATGTTAATGTTTGTGTGTGTGTGTGTGTGTGTGTGTGTGTGTGTGTGCTCTCAAGATACTCCTGTGAGTCTTGTTTCTATGAAGTAGTACGTAACAAACCAGACAGATTTCATATTTTCCTCTTTACGCAATGCTGTCTTTCAACTATAATTTGGATACATCAAGTGAAATCTTCCAGAAATATCAGCTATTGTAGAATATATATATATATATATATATATATATATATATATATATATATATATATATATATATATATATATATATATATATATATATATATATATATATATCAGTTTTCAAGAGACGATGTCGTAGCTTCTGGCTAGGTCTCCATTATACACCTTTGCGAGTGGCTGAAGAGTCCGACCCTAGAGTGACAGTCTCTGTTGCACTTGCTGCAGGTGAACTTTGATGCTTGTTAAGGCTATTGCTGTTTCCCCTTCCTCTTAGCTCTCTTTGTAGCGAGGTTTGTGTTTATACTTTCCTTGGCTTTCTGAACGCCGTCTGACAACAAGGCGTCAGGCGGAGCGGTCATCAGCACAGATCTTCCAGTTGTTGACGTTGATATTGGCCGTCTTCGTGTCTCTCTTGCAGACATCTTTGTAACGCAGAAAACGCCGTCCAGTCAATCGTGAGCCTTTTGCTAGCTCTCCTTGGGAATGCTGCCTATATCCACTTTCTTGACGTGGCCGAGCCAGTGAAGGTGCATAATCTCGCTGAAGATGGCGAAAATGTTGTTCATGCTGGCGCGTTCCAGAACCTCAGCAATGAGTACTTTGTCCTGCCACTGAATGCGCATATATATATATATATATATATATATATATATATATATATGTATTTATATATATATATATATATATAAATATATATATATGTATATATATATATATATATATATGTATGTATATATATATATATATATATATATATATATATATATATATATATATATATATATATATATATATATATATATATATGTGTGTGTGTGTGTGTGTGTGTGTGTGTTTGTGTGTTGCGATTATATGATATGCCTGCATACATATATTGTCGAATTAAATTGGATACCAGTGAATACGGTGTAATTACCTACCTTTATATAGCTGAGAATCGCAATCGTGTCTTCTACCCCTGTCCAATGTACTGCCTGCCACTAGTAGAGATAAAAATCATTCTTACTTATAAGTATATGATAGAGAACGCAAACAATAAATTACGCAATTGCATTATGTTGCTGTTGTTGTGATTTGGACTTTTAGCGTAGTTTTAAAACATATTCAGCCGCATCGCTACGATGTCTGCAGTGTTGCAGTTTATAGTGATGTTTAGCACTGGGACATCATGCCTCAGACATGAAGCATGATGTCCCACCCAGTCACATTATCCTGACACCAGGCCGACCAATTCTAACACTAATCTCTTAATGCTGAGCGCCAAGCCCTGGCAGCTGTTAGGACCATTTTTGTATGACTCGGACCCGCGACCTCCCGATTCCAAGGCGGACGCCCTAACCACTAGGCCACCGGAGCGATCGCAATTCATTCAGAACTATTTAGAGAAACAAAGTAGTAATACAAGGAATGTAAGTAGCATATTTGTAAAAATTAGGTCTACTAAACTTTAGAGTTCTTAGTGTTGGAACATACAAGGAAATTATATCTAACATTAATTTTCGTCGAAACTATATTTACAGGTAGTGGAAGCATAATGTGTTCCAGATCAGAAGGAACACAGACTGTGAGGTGCTTCATGTCTGACGCGAATCTTCTTGGTTTAGTAGTTTGATATATGTTATTGCTTATGTATGAAGTAATATATTTTATTTCATATATTATCAGATCGCAAATTGTTTCCAGTCTTCTATGACATACTGTCGTTTCATACAATAGAGGAATAGTGTGACACTGAGCAGACAAATTGTCATTATGAAGGTTACAGACCTTAACTTTGCGCCACCATTTTGACAAATGCGGTATTATGACTTTCCAAAGAATGTAATGTCAAACTGGGATTTTTTGTTATTAACATGCCCATTTTTTCAAATTTCATATGTGGTAGTTGTCGGAAACTTTTTCGGAAATATAAGGGGGATATAATTTTAAAAACTACATCTTCTAACCGAACTCATTTATTTACTTATCAAAAATAAAACCAACTACCAATGACAAGAGTTCGGTATCATTGCATACTATCAACACCGTTTCACTGACCAGAACTAACACCGACCAATACAAACGGCAAGAAAATGACTAGCACCTATTTAGCTACTGAATATCGCATATACTTACAGACCCATAAAAAGATATTAGTGTTAGCACATACAGGAACATACTATTCAGATATAAGCAAACAGGAATAATATAAAACAATTATATGATACTTGAATATAATTTATGAATCGCAGTAAATTCTCCAATACCGAGTGCTGGCTACGTCACACTTCTCACTTATTAAACAAAATACATCAAAGATGGGTATAACACTTCAACATCTTCAAATTACCAATCATCTAATAGTGTGGAAACAAGTGAATATAATCAGTTATTGATACTGCAACGTTGGCTAAAACAGTGAAAGCAATTAGCATGCTGTCAAAAGGCATACAACATAGAGCAGATGCATTACCGACAAAAGTACACAAAGCCGGATGATCGCATATGACTCAGATGTTGACCGAGGTCTTTCAACCAATGCGGACTCGGGTAATTACCTAAGAAAAACCAGGATGCATTTATCATCAACATCAAAAGGATGAAAGGTAGCCTTTTTTCTGAGATAATGGTCGGGGCGTAATGTTTCTGTTAATGGACGGAATTCAGCTGATTCGCTCTGTGCATCAGATTGGTCAAGCGTTTATGTCTGAGAGTCGCTGTGGCTTCAGGGAAGGACAAGTTCGCCTTTCACTCAAGCACAGTCATGTGCAGTCCTCATTGATGATGAAACCATCACCAATTGGTAACACATGTATATATTATTTGGCTGATTCTCAGCCTGAGTGAGCGCAGAATCATCATTCTACAAAACAAAACACAAGACCTACAAAGCCGTTTCGTTTCAGAACCTTCTATATGCTTGCCATTCTTTGGGAGCATACAGGCGTCACTACAAGAAGGACAACCATTTGTGGGAGATATTCAGCCTGATCAGTAGTTGAATGTTAGCTTCAGTCAGACCATCGGGCGGTTATTATGCATATGTGTGAACATTCCCGACAATTTTCTGGTTATCCTATCTTCGCTTATGTGTATGTGTTCCAAGTCTATTCTTTGATTAGGAGATGAAAATAATTTTTAGGCTATGAGTGGATAATGTGAATTTGTTGCCTTTGTGTTCTTTCAACATTGCATTTCTCCTTATTTGTTCGTATAATATTCCATTATTTAAACCCTACTAACGTTTTACAAACTATTGTCTCCATTGCCACCATGGTAACACGCAATGGTAATCCTTTGGACAATTCGGAAAGTACGCTTTCCCATAACCAATATAAATCTGAATCTTAGCATTGACGAAATGTTAAATTATCACAATAGCTATTTTATATGCATTCTGCAAAACTATAATACTGTCCATGTTTTGGAAAAGTTCAACATGGGCCACAAAATCGTCCAACCTGAATTTCGAATTAATTTTTTTTGTGAGAAAGTTTAAAATTATTACTTGTTATACGTATTAGTATCTCAAAAGGCAAATAATAGTTTAATAAGAATACTACTATCTAATTGAGTTTCCCCGATTTAGTTATATTACTGTGTGGGGTGGTGGGGTGGTGGTGGAGGGAGAGAGACAGAGATAGAGAGACAAAAACAGAGAGACACCGAGAGAGATTAAGGACACTTAGTGTGATATATAAAGGTACTCTATGTTTCTATTATCATAACTGTTTTAATACAAAAAAAAACCCATTAAAACCTCCCGAGTATTTCTTTGCGAGGAAACATGTATCAAATAACCCGCATTAAATATATTAAATACAGAGCAGCAAATAAACAAATAAATAGCATATTAAAGAAAATGAAACATTTGAAAGTAGAAAAATCTGATTATTCAACTATTTACAAGACGTAGATACGAATATATTTAAAAGTTAAAGTAGCTTTGGGAAAACATTAATAGCCAAATATAGAAAAGTGCTTAGCATCTCTGTATGCATTAACATTCTACCAATAATAAAAAATGAACAATGTGATAGTTTTGAAAAATTACTGTAAATAAAATATACTAATTCGATCATTTTTGAGAATTGGAAAGAAGTGAAAAAATTATGTGGGATATTTGGGAAATTAGACACATATGCAGACTCAGATTATAAGCAAACCAACTATTGTTTTTGAAAAAATGACACATCTTGCATTTGAACGTGGCAAAGATAATTAACAGAAGTATTATGAAGTTATGTAAATGATTCATCAATGTTCTATTTTGCCTGCTCCAAGCATAATTTTTAAATCCCATTAATCCAAACAATACCTATATGCCACGTAAGGTACGAACATGTAGACTGTAAGCAAACGAAAAATAAAGAAATTTAAACTGAAGGAAAAATATGCATCCTGCCTGTCGAGTACTAAACCAGTTGTGTAATAACTCACTCTTTAAATTGCCGATTTCTCATGGCATACCAAACCATAAGGTCAACCGTTTACAATATGTATTGTCTTGCATTTTCTTTATATTTGCACACAAAAATTAAATTTTATGATAATTCTATTTGATAATTCAAGCAAAAATAAATCACATATGGAAGTGTATTTCATGCAATCCTAGTATGTATATTGTGGGATATAAAACTTGTACACAAGCTTGTAGAGTGGCAATGTTTACTAATAAACCGGTAGATTAGCAAGTAACGAAACGGACAAAGTTCCTGATCTTGTTATTTATGTCTACTCTACGATGAATTATCGCAATTGTTTCAGTTAAAAATGCTTTAAGTTTTGGGATAGCAACAAAAAAAAGAATTTATCCATTTTACCTTGTGATGCGAGAGTCAAGGTTATTACCCATAGTATTGGTGTTGCAGAGAAATCTGGAGAAATAAAGTTACAATAGATCAAAAAGCTTCACAGACAAAACACGCAATAAATAGCAGACAAGCACATTCAAATTAGCAAGATTCAAAGTTTATTGTACACGAGGTATATAATGCTTTCCGCTCCATCTTAACATTATAGAATGGATATGTCCTGCTAATACAAGACAAAATTATCTAAATCAAATTCAAGGTAAAAAAAGAAGTTATATAGCATTAATAATTAGGATGTGTAGCCGTTCGGCATCAAACAGAGAGGAATGGGACTTATATATGAATAACAGTTCTCGTACCTGATACAATATTATTTGAAAAATATCTAGAGTAATTATTTTTCTAAATACAAAAGAACATATTATGCAATACAGATTCACATTTGCATAAGCTTATTTGCATCAACAGCTAAACATTTGTATGTGCAATGGCTTACGGACCCGACTTATGATGAACATCACTATGACTGCCTTTCATTTATTTTCAGTATATCTTACCAGTTTTCATTTTCGTTGCCAACCCTAGTCTCTTGACGAAGATCGTTCTTCTGCTTTATCTAAAGCCAAATTTAAAAGTTTGATCTACATTAGCCGACCCACTTGTATACCAAATATGCTCTCATGAAATACACCAATATATGAACTCTTGAAAATAGATACGTTTCGACTTATTAAAACTGTACAAAAGAAAATGTTAGCACCATTCACAACATACCTTGATATGGATCGTATATATATATATATATATATATATATATATATATATATATATATATATATATATATATATATATATATATATATATATATATATATAGAACAAGATGCATATACGCACCGATTCAGTGCCATAATATTTTGGTGATGCGTGCTTAGTCGTGACGGTATATGGGCTGGTGCGTGCAGGCATGGCGATGGTGCCATTTACTCGCGGACCTGGGTTCGAAACTCAGTAGAGTACGAATTTAATTCCTCTAACCTATATGATAGTATTGTTTGAATTAAACTATTATTTCTGCCCACTTTTATCAAGATTCTACAACAGAGTCTAGGGATAGCACTGTCTGTTCTGTCTGGTATATATTTATAAATCTTTGTAATACAAAAATCCTAAAACCTTGATTTCTTTCATAGGAATCTGGAACGACTGTATATATATATATGTATATATATATATATATATATATATATATATATATATATATATATATATATATATATATATATATATATATATGTATATATGAGAATTATTTACTATGTCTTCATGCGAGTGCGTCTGCTACGCACGAGCTTATATAACACCGATTCAGTGCCATCATTTTTTGGTGATGTGGTGATGAGTGCTTAGTCATGACGGTATATGGGCTGGTGCGTGCAGGCATGGCGATGGGTGCCATTTACTCGCGGATATGGTTCGAAACTCCGTGGAGTACGAAATTAATTTATCTAACATATATATATATATATATATATATATATATATATATATATATAT